TGAAATCGCGGTCGGGGCGGGGCGTTGCGATCCGCGAATGTTCGAAGGAGAACAGTATTAGCTCGAATTCGATCCGCGTGGGAAGAGCGCGTGTCCCGATATCTCGATGTCGCGATATGCGGTCGCGATCTCGTCTCCATCCTCGATCCTAGATCCTCCTCTTCCTTCTTCTTCTAGGGGAAGAGATGGAAATCGGAATACGCGTCGTTCGTTTTTTTTTTCTTTTATGAAGGGGAGCGAAGGGGGGAGCGAATTTGGAAATCGGAATTCGCGTCATTTTTTTTTTTCTTTTCTTTTACGAAGGGGGGAGCGAATTTGGAAATCGGAATTCGCGGCATTTTTTTTTTTTTTTTTTTTTTCTTTGTATAAAGAGGAGCGAAAGGCGGAGGGAATTTGGAAATCGAAATTGGCATCTTTTTTTTTTTCTTTCTTTTTCTTTTTTTTTATGAAGGAAAGCAAAGGGGAGAAGGAATCTGGAAATCGAAATTCGTGTCGTTTTTTTTTTCTTTCTTTTTCTTTTTTTTTATGAAGGAAAGCAAAGGGGAGAAGGAATCTGGAAATCGAAATTCGTGTCGTTTTTTTTTTCTTTCTTTTTCTTTTTTTTTATGAAGGAAAGCAAAGGGGAGAAGGAATCTGGAAATCGAAATTCGTGTCGTTTTTTTTTTCTTTCTTTTTCTTTTTTTTTATGAAGGAAAGCAAAGGGGAGAAGGAATCTGGAAATCGAAATTCGTGTCGTTTTTTTTTTCTTTCTTTTTCTTTTTTTTTATGAAGGAAAGCAAAGGGGAGAAGGAATCTGGAAATCGAAATTCGTGTCGTTTTTTTTTTCTTTCTTTTTCTTTTTTTTTATGAAGGAAAGCAAAGGGGAGAAGGAATCTGGAAATCGAAATTCGTGTCGTTTTTTTTTTCTTTCTTTTTCTTTTTTTTTATGAAGGAAAGCAAAGGGGAGAAGGAATCTGGAAATCGAAATTCGTGTCGTTTTTTTTTTCTTTCTTTTTCTTTTTTTTTATGAAGGAAAGCAAAGGGGAGAAGGAATCTGGAAATCGAAATTCGTGTCGTTTTTTTTTTCTTTCTTTTTCTTTTTTTTTATGAAGGAAAGCAAAGGGGAGAAGGAATCTGGAAATCGAAATTCGTGTCGTTTTTTTTTTCTTTCTTTTTCTTTTTTTTTATGAAGGAAAGCAAAGGGGAGAAGGAATCTGGAAATCGAAATTCGTGTCGTTTTTTTTTTCTTTCTTTTTCTTTTTTTTTATGAAGGAAAGCAAAGGGGAGAAGGAATCTGGAAATCGAAATTCGTGTCGTTTTTTTTTTCTTTCTTTTTCTTTTTTTTTATGAAGGAAAGCAAAGGGGAGAAGGAATCTGGAAATCGAAATTCGTGTCGTTTTTTTTTTCTTTCTTTTTCTTTTTTTTTATGAAGGAAAGCAAAGGGGAGAAGGAATCTGGAAATCGAAATTCGTGTCGTTTTTTTTTTCTTTCTTTTTCTTTTTTTTTATGAAGGAAAGCAAAGGGGAGAAGGAATCTGGAAATCGAAATTCGTGTCGTTTTTTTTTTCTTTCTTTTTCTTTTTTTTTATGAAGGAAAGCAAAGGGGAGAAGGAATCTGGAAATCGAAATTCGTGTCGTTTTTTTTTTCTTTCTTTTTCTTTTTTTTTATGAAGGAAAGCAAAGGGGAGAAGGAATCTGGAAATCGAAATTCGTGTCGTTTTTTTTTTCTTTCTTTTTCTTTTTTTTTATGAAGGAAAGCAAAGGGGAGAAGGAATCTGGAAATCGAAATTCGTGTCGTTTTTTTTTTCTTTCTTTTTCTTTTTTTTTATGAAGGAAAGCAAAGGGGAGAAGGAATCTGGAAATCGAAATTCGTGTCGTTTTTTTTTTCTTTCTTTTTCTTTTTTTTTATGAAGGAAAGCAAAGGGGAGAAGGAATCTGGAAATCGAAATTCGTGTCGTTTTTTTTTTCTTTCTTTTTCTTTTTTTTTATGAAGGAAAGCAAAGGGGAGAAGGAATCTGGAAATCGAAATTCGTGTCGTTTTTTTTTTCTTTCTTTTTCTTTTTTTTTATGAAGGAAAGCAAAGGGGAGAAGGAATCTGGAAATCGAAATTCGTGTCGTTTTTTTTTTCTTTCTTTTTCTTTTTTTTTATGAAGGAAAGCAAAGGGGAGAAGGAATCTGGAAATCGAAATTCGTGTCGTTTTTTTTTTCTTTCTTTTTCTTTTTTTTTATGAAGGAAAGCAAAGGGGAGAAGGAATCTGGAAATCGAAATTCGTGTCGTTTTTTTTTTCTTTCTTTTTCTTTTTTTTTATGAAGGAAAGCAAAGGGGAGAAGGAATCTGGAAATCGAAATTCGTGTCGTTTTTTTTTTCTTTCTTTTTCTTTTTTTTTATGAAGGAAAGCAAAGGGGAGAAGGAATCTGGAAATCGAAATTCGTGTCGTTTTTTTTTTCTTTCTTTTTCTTTTTTTTTATGAAGGAAAGCAAAGGGGAGAAGGAATCTGGAAATCGAAATTCGTGTCGTTTTTTTTTTCTTTCTTTTTCTTTTTTTTTATGAAGGAAAGCAAAGGGGAGAAGGAATCTGGAAATCGAAATTCGTGTCGTTTTTTTTTTCTTTCTTTTTCTTTTTTTTTATGAAGGAAAGCAAAGGGGAGAAGGAATCTGGAAATCGAAATTCGTGTCGTTTTTTTTTTCTTTCTTTTTCTTTTTTTTTATGAAGGAAAGCAAAGGGGAGAAGGAATCTGGAAATCGAAATTCGTGTCGTTTTTTTTTTCTTTCTTTTTCTTTTTTTTTATGAAGGAAAGCAAAGGGGAGAAGGAATCTGGAAATCGAAATTCGTGTCGTTTTTTTTTTCTTTCTTTTTCTTTTTTTTTATGAAGGAAAGCAAAGGGGAGAAGGAATCTGGAAATCGAAATTCGTGTCGTTTTTTTTTTCTTTCTTTTTCTTTTTTTTTACGAAGGGGAGCAAAGGAGGGGGCGAATTTGGAAATCGGAATTCGCGGCATTTTTTTTTTTTTTCTTTTCTTTTACGAAGGGGAGCAAAGGAGGGAGCGAATTTGGAAATCGGAATTCGTATCATTTTTTTTTTCCTTTCTTTTACGAAGGGAAGCAAAGAAGGGAGAGTATCTGGAAATCGGAATCCGCGTCGTTTTTTTTTCTTTTTTTTTTTTTCTTTATTTTTCTTTTTTTTTTTTTCTTTTCTTTTACGAAGGGAAGCAAAGAAGGGAGAGTATCTGGAAATCGGAATCCGCGTCGTTTTTTTTTCTTTTTTTTTTTTTTCTTTTTATAAAGAGGAGCGAAAGGCAGAGGGAATTTGGAAATCGAAATTTGCATCTTTTTTTTTTTCTTTCTTTTTCTTTTTTTTTACGAAGGAAAGCAAAGGAGAGAAGGAATCTGGAAATCGAAATTCGTGTCGTTTTTTTTTTTCTTTCTTTTTCTTTTTTTTTATGAAGGAAAGCAAAGGGGAGAAGGAATCTGGAAATCGAAATTCGCGTCGTTCGTTTTATTTTGTTTCTTTTTCTTTTTTTTACGAATGGGGGCGAAGAGCGAATTTGAAAATCGGAATTCGCGTCGTTCGTTTTTTTTCTTTCTTTCTTTTTTTTTACGAAGGGGAGCAAAAGGGAGAGCGAATCTGCAAATCGTAATCCGCGTCGTTTTTTTTCTTTCTTTCTTTTTCTTTTTACGAAGAGGAGAGCGAATCTGAAAATCGAAATCCGCGTAGTTGGTTTTATTTTCTTTCTTTTTCTTTTTACGAAGAGGAGAGCGAATCTGAAAATCGGAATCCGCGTCGTTGGTTTTATCTTCTTTCTTTTTCTTTTTTTTACGAAGGGAAGCGAAGGGAGGAGCGAATCTGGAAATCGGAATCCGCGTCGTTGGTTTTATCTTCTTTCTTTCTTTTCCTTTTTCCACGAAGGGGAGCGAAGGGGAGAGGGAATCTCGGAGGCGGATGTTGCATCGGGCGCGCGTGCAACCGCGGGCCGGAAACAGAATTGAACGTCGCGCATGGCTAGCGCATAAAATCAAGTGGAACTTAACCCGATTGGTCCCTGATGCGTATGCAAAACAGGTGCTCTCTCGCTCCCTCCCCCCTCCCCATACTGTCGAACAGTACGGTAATTGGAGTACGGGACGCAAGGCTGCATTATATTTAGTGACGACGACGAGCCCGCGACACGAGGGGTCCAGCCAGTGGGTCACTGCTAACGCATTGTCAGACGATTAGGGACGATTAGCGCCGTTTCGACCGCGAGGGGGTTCCACCTCTTTTTTTTCCTTCTTTCTTCTTTTTTCTTTTTTTTTTCCCTTCATTTTCATTTCCCAAAGAAGAACAAACCAAACTCGCCTCCCTCGAGCGAGCGAGCGAG